GAATATCAAAACTCCGCGGTGGGTTTAGGAAGGGAATTGTTGAAAGGAACGTTTTACGAACCGGAGTTACAAAAAGTAATTATAGGTAAAAACAAGGTGTTTAAAATAGAAAAAATTATGGATAGAAAAATCTCCAGAGGCAAGAAGCAGGTCTTCGTGAAATGGTTGGTGTGGCCCGAGAAGTTTAACGCCTGGGTCTCAGAAAAAGACATCATTCTCCATTCCGGCGAGGACCCGAGTCTGCAACCAGGAGAATCTATTCATGGGACAGATCCCTAAATTTATTGTTTTAGGGTTTGTTGACAACGAAGGATACACGGTGTTAAGAGTGTATGGATGCATGTAACTGTTTCCTGATTCCTGAGTCATGTGATATTGAGAGCACCACTTCCATATAAGGGCAGTGTCCCCGCCCCTTTTCTCTATGTGTAACCGTCTCTCCCGTGAGCGGGCAGTTTAGCATGTCGTGCCTGCATTAAACAATGCCACGAGTTAAATGGCTGAAGAGATAAACGTCTGGACGTCCGTTCATTCTCTGGTGTCATTGTTCCGCCGCGCAGGTAGGCCAAAGGAGTAAGCCTACCTATCAACACACGGGTAGTTATACACGGAATCCCTTCAATTTCCAACACTATGACACCGAGTTTTTAAGCATTTACGCTGATGGCCACGCATATCCAGCGAGACCGCTACAGCCACTCTTCCAGACCGGCCAGTACGTGAGAGAATATTACCACATGATTCAAACAGGTCGACATTTAAAAGACAGATCGCTGGCTGTAACACGGGGTGACTTAGGTCACGGTTACTCGCTGTTCTGTTTTAATCTGGAGCCTGACGACGGGCAGTCGGGGAACGTGTCACTAATCAAGACGGGGAATGTGCGCCTGGAGGTCCGCTTCAGAACAGCCCTTCCTCGTACCATAAATCTCATTTGTTATTCTGTTTTTGACTCCGTTATCGAGATATCAAACCAACGCCAAGTCTTGGTGGATAACTTTTAAACACCATGAACACCATAGAGCTGACGAGTATTGTTCGAAAACGGGTTTTTAGGGGGGTCGATTTTATGGGCGTGTTAGCGTGTGACCAGCTGCCTATGAAGGCTTTGCGCAAGTATCCGGTGATGACTAAATACGCACCCCTCCAGCAGCCCCGGAGAGCATTGGTTGGCGATTTATATCACAAAATACAAGCATAGCTATTTCTTTGACAGTTTTGGAAACCCTCCTGATTATGAACAGTTTCCAAAAGAAATTGTTAATTTTCTCAATTATAACTGTACGGCTATGTCTTATTCTAGGAAACAGGTTCAAAATAATTTTACTACAACCTGTTGTCAACATTGTGTGTTTTTTCTATTTTATATACAAAAAGGCTGGTCTTATTCACGAGTTTTAAGTTTGTACGGACCTAATCTAGTCAATAATGATGCAATGGTCTGTCGTTTTGTTAACAAAATCCAACCCTCTGGGTGTTGTGAGGATGCTTTTACGTGTGTACAATGTGTGATCTAATGATAAACTATCCTGTGATACATTTTATGAATAAAATATATAAAGACAACTTTCAGCTGTGAAAACCAATTTTATTTTTCCATCCACAAAGAACAGACTAACAGATAATACAAAAGCATTACAAACACTTGTAGAAAGTTTAAAAAAATAAATAATAATAATACACAACCATTACAAATATTGTGTCATAAAAAAAGAAGTAATATGCATCCAGTACAAGCTTAAAAATAATAATAAAAAGACATGTGTCACCCAGTAATAGCACAACACATCATAAAAATCTTCCCACGAATCATCACTCCTAAAAAATTTAGTCTTTAGGGATTTCGGTGTCTTAAAGGGGGTGCTGTCTATAGATCGGCTGGTCCTAGTTTTTGTTTTGAATGACCCCGAAACATTAAAACCCCCGTCATAAACTGCATCACCCCCCCTTATATTCAGCAATAGACCTTCGAACCTGCATGTTGGGGATAGCAGATAGGGGGATATTTAAATCTGGTAGTGTTTTTAAAAATATCTTCCACCCGATAGGTCTAGATTCGTCTAAAACATTATACGAGGACGTGACACTTTTCACCAGATCATACAGATGTGTGCCTTTGATCGTTTGATTGTTGACAACGATCTCCCCCCGGTCTGTCCAGGCTATGCCGTTTTTTGCGTGGTTCAAAGCATCCAAAATATATTCGGCATGTTTTTTACTTTTTTTAGGTATGTGCCTGATCACATTGCCTAAAATCACATCTTTTCCTGGTACGTCGTCTGCTGAAACGACAGGATTTGAGACCGAGTCCCTTTCACCGGAGGGTAGTGGTAAAGGCAACGCCCCCTTCTCACGCTCTCCCTGTCTCACCACAGCCAAGTATCTTATCGGAATATTTTTTGGCTTTTTCGTACATGTCTGTATCAGGTTGATTCAACACGTCAATCATAACTCTATCAAGCTCATTTTGCACCGCCTGTCTTATAGACCCTCGTTGATCCTGCTGATGATGCTGAGGTAAAGCTGAGGCTGCTGCTTTACTATGCCAATCTGATGCTGGGGGACCAGAAACATTTTTGGGGTGTGCTCCATTTTTACCCCCGCCTATTGACAAGACTAATTATAAACAGAATAGCAGCTCCTAATAACGGTAATAAAAAGCCCCCCGACTGGTTGAGGGTCTTTTTCTTCTTGGTCCGTTTAACTTTTTTATCCGCCACCAGTCGGATAATCTTCTTCTTCTTCTTTAAGAGGGCGAATTGTTTGTCGGTCAAAGGAATGTTACCTCTCAATACATTGAGTGCGATCTCACACAGAGAGTCGATAAAATCCGTGCTTGCATTATTAACAATGACACGTCGCACACGACGCATAGATTTATATATCAACTCCAACAATGACAAATTCCTCTGCATGCGTGATGACATTTTAGCGTTATTAACGCCTGTTTGTTTTTTTGGGAATATACACAACCTGTTGTTCCGATAGCAAAGCCGTTCTGAGTCTTAAATGTTCGGGGGTCAAAGCTTTATAATCTATAAGAAGATACCCATGTGATTGTTGGGTCGCATCACTAAAGGCCTCTAAAAAATATTTAGTATTACCCAGAAACATCTGTCTGGCCAGTAGTGTGATTTGATATTTATCCCTAGGGTTTTTAAACAGAATGAGATAGTTGGTGTTTAAACTAATAGTGCAACTAGATTTATGATTGATGTCCTTGACAAAAAAAGTCTTTCCACAGTTTGACGGCCCACTCGCTACCAAACTAAAAGGGTGTTGTAGTCGTGCATCAAATCCATGATCGCTGTTAGTATCCATAAGGAAGGGTTGTATAGTCAGACAACACCCTCCGCTTATTGTACACCACTCTGACTTGCTTTAAAACTGTCTCGTTTTTAAGATGGAACTTCTTTTTATCACGCCTGATAGTTTCAGACACAGTGGTCAAAGTGTGTGTGTTGTGATTGGTTACATGAGCCTGTACGAGACCAATCAGTGATTGTGGGGTGACGACGGAGGCGTTTCTAGCGTTTAATGTGACGCCTTTACATTTGACAGCTGTTTTACCCTGCATTGTGTTATAGGCATAGCATTTGGGCCCTCCTGATACAAACTCTGTGATGTAGTCTTCACTAGGCAGCCCGCATATGTCTCCGCTGTTTAACTCATCAGTCAGGTCACCAAGATATGCCCCCAGGGGCGGCACCCAGTCGCTCCCTCGCGATGTAAAGACAATGCTGTCTGTGTCACAGTACAAGACCCTCTCCTGCAGTTTGTCTAACAAGTCGTAGAGCATCAATCTGGCATGGGCAGTTGTCAGGGCTCCTATAAAGACGTTTACGTCTTTTATACGGGAACCGCGGGCGTCTGCATGTCGCCACTGTACCAAAGACACGTCATCTGAGATAAAACAGAATTGTCGCACATCAAAGTGGTCACTAAACATCAATTGTGTGAACCGAGCCGGATCTGTGATCAGCTCGCATGCAGGCATATTATTGCGCATACTAAAACGGCCCCACAAAGAGTTTAAGAGGAGTTTGTTGCAGCTTCTCATGGCTTTGTTGACCCTGATTTTGTCAGGGTTTAATTGAATGCCTTCCTTTTCAAATAGTCTTTGACATATTTCTCCTTGTCGTCAGGGGTTTTGACATGGCCAGGGTAGCCTGACGCTTCCTGTTTACACTTCATGAATGTCTTCGCTGAACAATGTGTCTGTTTTGTTGGGGAAATGCCAAACTTCATCAATGGACACAATCCTGTTTCCCTTTTTCACAGCCTTCTGCAGTTCAATTGACACCCAGACCCACGCCAGCAGTCTGTCTCTGTCGGCGTGAGTGCACTCGCCAATCTGATTCAAATCCTCAGCACATTTGCCACACAATGGGAACATGAGTTTGTCATGACATCTGTATGGTAGGACCGGGTGAAACAGCCCTCTGGGTGGTAGCAATGTGCACTTTATGAGTCCAAAATACTTGTCAATAGACTCAAAATCCTTCAGGATAACCTGAGGATGTCCAACTGGATACTGCTTTTTAGCCTGAACCGTTGGATAAAGACTGGTGAAGTCGTAGTACCTGATTTTTTTCATCAGCACCGATCTTGTGTTACAGCTTCATAGCGTTTGTACGTCCCCCAAAGAGGGCCTTTCTAGGCTCTAGACGCTCACGCTTTTTGTAAGTAGCCATAAAAGCCTGTACAGCCCCGCTCGTCCGTTTTAACGCAGACCACTCACACTCCCACATCACTACAACTCACAGCCCGTGTTGTTTTTGTAGAGAATATATTTTGTCCATGAACACCCTGTATTGTCTACCGTAGGTGATTTTTGTAACAGGGTTCATGTCGCTCTGGACGTGGCATTTGACACATCCGTGGAAAAAACATTCAGCAAATTCACAGCAAGTGTTTGCTACAGAATTATAGCCATCCACATAGAACGGCTCAAAAAGCTGTTCACCGTGATTGAGAGCATGTTTAATCTCGATATTCTCTGTGAGGGCCACATATTCAAGCCATTGCATCGATACATCAGAATACGTCTTATTCTGAGCAGTGTATGCCCCCTCAAACGTCAGAGCAACTGTGTCCTTTGGGAGAAACAGGGTTTTCAACACCCCCATGCAGCTGGATGCTAGGGTGGTAAATGAGAAGGGGTCAAGCTCCGTGCACTCTATGAATGTCTCACGATAGATGCTGCAGGCTCTTCGCAACACTTCTACATCGTTAACACAGTAGCGTCCGATTTCTTTTTGGAAGTCAAATGTTCCTCCTGAAACAGCATTATACCATTCCATGAATGTCGCTTTATCGCTATCACTCATATCGTCAAAGCCGTAGTAGGACGGATCAGGATATTTACCGACATAATACTCATGCTCCCGGGTGTTGAACTTGTGGGGAAAATAGCCTTTCTCGACATCACTGAACCCTAGGGCAGCGGGGGGTTTTGACCATCGCATGGGCAGGAAACTGAATGAGTCAATCCATCTCTGCCGCTATGAAATGTCATACATCAGTATTACCCTACTCCCTCTCATGGTGACTTGCGGAGTGATCTGTTTTACAAAATATTCCAACAGAATATAGTTGTCAAAGCTGGATGCGTTGTGGGCAATAAACGTGTAGCCTTTGTATCTCGGTCTTCTGTAATACTTCACAAAGGTGTCCACACAATTCACAGTACTGAAGCATCCTGGATAGTTCCATGTGTCCTTTGTTGGTGTAGACAGGACAAGCTGCTCCCTGCTGTACAATCATACATGTAGAAAATATGTTATAAAACAATTGTCTATATATATAATATATATATGGATGATGTCACATACCTTGTAGAAGGTCTCTCAGACTGGACAACCGTATGTACTTTTTTTTTTCACTGGAGGGGCATACAGGTCATTATTTAGGTACATTATTTAAAAAAAATAATAACAACATTAACAACAATAATCAATAAAATACATAAAAATATTTGATATTGCTCCAGTTACCTGCAACCCCCGTTTGATAACGACGATCAGTCGTTTTTTCCCAAGATGTCGATTCTTCCAAGAGAATTATAAAATCACCATGAATGATTCGTCAAATAATAAACATATAGAAATCTTATATCATACTTCCATTTCCCCTACCTGTGCCAGCTCCCTGGTTGGTGCACGTAGTCGTTGGTGGTAGACAACTGAGTGCAGCAACCTCCTTTTTCAGTTTTTCAAGACTCACATGTATAGGCGTCGAGCTGTCATCTATTTCTAAAAGGTGTAAATACCTATTAAAAATATATATAAATATATAAAAACAAATATGTATCACTCAACATAGTACAATCTTTAAAGCTTTTTTAAATTTATACCAGTGTGTGTGTGTGCGTGTGTGTATATATATATATATACACACTGTGTTTTCTCCATCCCTGGGGATCTCAGGGGGCCATTTAGGGTTTGGCACCGTTGGGGTGCTGAGTCACAATATGCTGTGCTAGGTCGACACATGTATTCCTCGTTAAAAACTTAAGATGTCTGTTTTCCTGAGGGTAGGCCTTTGTGACCCTCAGGGCTTTCCTCTGTTAGGTTACAAATTGTGTCCTGATGGCTAAGAAGATAGCCCCCTAATTCATCTGGAGCGTGAACCCCCGTGGATGAGTCCAAAATGAGTGTGTTGGTGGTGGAGGCGAATAAAGGGTTCATACACATTTTGACCAGTGGATTTCCATGACTTTTCCATGACTTCAAACACAATTTCCATGGCCAAATAAGTGTGAAATCTCAGTGTATACATGAAAAAGTGAGAAAATGTAGTATTTAAACTAACAATGAGAATACCAAAGCATACAGCGTTTCCCCCCCCCCATTCAATTCGGTCTCAAGATGTTATAATCAATTATCCACTATGGAGTATCGTTTGGGGTTTTCCTGATACCAGTGCTAAAACGATACTTTGAAAACATACCGGTGCCTACAACAATACTTGTTTTCCATTATTTTACTTCAAATTATGGACAATACATGAACAGTTTACAGTAGACACACAGTCTCTGTAAGCGCCGGAAGTGTATGTATTACATCTTTGGAATTTTGGCAATATTAATCATTTAATTTATGGTCATTGTGCAGGAACTAAGGATATGTAACTTGTATTGAACGCATTTATGTTGGATTGACGCTCCTTGTGTGTCTCCATGTATTTACGTCGTGATTGCAGTAGGTGCAACACAGAAGAGCTGCATTAGGCACAAGAGCATATCGTTTATCTGCTGTGTGACAGAATGTAGTAATTGTATATTATGTTGACGCATTGCAGCATAAAATAAACACAAAATGAAAAGAATCAAATGATCTCCTGTCATTCGAGGAGGAAGATTAAGTCACGTGTCTGCAGCTTAATACGGCTCAATGACAAAGAACACCGAAGCAACGCCGCCGCGCCCTCTGTTTACAACTTGGAACTGCTGCTGGCAGACGGGCAGCGCACGTCGGACAATGTCGGTGTCGCGTACAGCGCCGGTGGCCGAAGAGAGAGACGTGCTGCTCGGCATGGTGGCTTCGCTAGCAGTCGCCCTCTGATTGGGTTTCTGTAGTAGCTTCACTAGCAGCGGCGCAGTGATGTCTGCTTCCTATAGCACGGCTCGTTAATGCCGCTCTCCCATGTTTAAAATATATAATGTTCCGCCTCCACATTACTTATATTCTGATCGTCCCGGGTCTTTGTTTGTCGTAACTCATGAGATGCACTTTTCCATATGTAGCCAACCACGGTTAAATCTACACTTCCCTGACACTGGATGATTCCTGAGCTACCGAACTTTTCAGGCGTTTACACCGCCGCGGTGCGAATTATTTGCGCTGCGAGTATCAGAGCGTCCTGCGTCTCTTTAAAACCATATGAATGATTTCAAACGTAATCTTAAATGAACCACATGACCATAGAAATATAACAAATTTCCATGACTTTTCCAAAACTTTTAGGATTTTATTTCTTTCCATGACTTTTCCAGGCCTGGAAATTACCATTTTGAAATTCCATGACTTTTCCAGGTTTTCCATGACCGTACGAACCCTGCGAATAACACATCTATATATATGATGAAACCCCTCCTACAGTGACGTGTTTCCGGTCAAAACTAACGGCCATCGCATAAAACACCCTGAAATGGCGAATTTCCAATCAAAACCCCGCACGTCATCGTCAAAATGGCGTATTTATGCTTAAACAGTGCACGCCCCCCTACAAATCCCGCCCCAAAATGACGTATTTCCGTTTCCACTCGTAAAATGACGCATTTCCGGGCATGACCGCAAAATGGCGGCGGTTACGGCCACTTCCTGTACACGCCCCCTTGCGCGTGCATGAGGTCAAAGGTCAAATGCACACCCCCCACCACACCCCTCCTACCTCCCAAAAGTGGTGCTTTATTACTACTGTACGGAATATGAATACGTTATACGTATATTTCTCATTATGCATTAGTTTTACTACGTCCTGTATTTTAATGACTAAATCCATGAACTGCTGCCACTAAATCAAACTTTATTCTGGTCATGAGCAGTAACATTTTGTTTTTGACCCCATACTAAACTTGATTTGTGGTTTGATTGCCTTGATTGGAAATTCCAACTCTCTTTCATTAAGGCTGCGCTCTGACTGGAATGTAGCTAACAGGAACAGGCATTTTGCATTTAGTCTGCTGCATGGCTTTGATCAAATGTTATTGCTCGCTTACGGAGTTTGGCTTCTATATGGCGCATAGGGGTGGTGCTCCACGGAGCTCCTCACATATCCAGTTCAACAGGAAATTCCCATAAAGAAACAGTAATTCATAAGAGGGAACAGAACCTATAGCCAAAATCGTCTATTTTTCATTTCAGTTTACATCAATATTCTTTTGTCTTTACATAAAGCTTGTCACAGAGGAATACATACATTCATTAGGCAGGTTTAGAGGAAGTAAAATGAGTGCTAGCGGGCAAGGGATCGACACTTGGAAAAATAAGTAAAACAAAGCAACTGTTCTTAAGAGTAGCACAGTCCTACCTAAACTGGTAATAGCTTTGATTAACAGAAAAGCAGATGATACAATAAAACAAATAACAGACAGCAATAGGTATGAACAAGCCCCACAGAAAGATGTGTAAATTGTTAAGTGCCATCTATACTACAGGGGTGATGAGCAAAAGAGACTGCGTTTAAAAGTGTTGGGGCTTGTTAAAAAGCAGCGTCAGACACAAGGTCACCGAGGGCAACGAGGCCGACGTGCGTCTACCGAATAGTCGACAACGTTAATGAAACCCCGTATGGACAGAAGTGAAAGAATCGCGAAGAAAAGGAAAGAAGATTCATCAGTTGTCGAAAAAAGAATCCCACAGTGAAATACAGATAATTACTGTTCACAGTCAATTCTGCTGCAACCTGGCAGCTTTAAACTTGGAAAGCCTCTTCGGGGCCTGCTGGGGCGGGGCCACGTCGGGCGCCACCTCCTCCTGTTTCCTCTCCAGAATGGTCGGCAGCGCCGGTGGACTGATGGTCAGGTAGGGGACCGCTGAAGGCATCGGCTCCTTTTCGACCACCGTGCCTGAAAAGGCCTGAGGAGAGAGAGAGAGCGAGAGAGAGAGAGAGAGAGAGAGAGAGAGAGAGGTGATGTGGTGTCATGTGACTGATGCTTGAAGGTTCAGGGGTCACGAAAGGCGTTGCGCCGTTTTCATGCTGGCCTTCCTCGTTCACTTTTCCTCTTCAGACAAAACATTTAACGCTTGCTCAACAGCATGCTGGCTCGCATTTTAACTTTAAGAGGCTTCTGTGGGAGTTTTTGTTATGTTCTCATTAAGGGATTCGACGCTCAAAGGTGCAATTTTCACAAACCATTTCATAATATAGGCACGTTGCGTTCACACTCTTAACTGAGACTTCACACGGAAACTTAGCGGAGAGACAAAAATAGGCAGCGGGAGCTAAAAACCGACGGGGGCGAGCAAGCGGTGCTGACCTCGAAGCGGCTGGCGCGGTGCAGCAGGGCCGCCGTGGGACTCTCCTCCTCCGTGACGCCGTCGCTGGTGTCGCTCTGCGTGGTCTCGTCGTGGCTGAAGCTGCGGCCGACCGCGCGGCGCCCCTCCTCGAAGTCCGCCGCGCTGCTCTCGCTCGTGTCGCTGCACACGCTGTTCTCCCGGCTGCGCGACTTCAGGATGGACTTCCTGGGGACGGGTTCCCCGTTCTTCACGTCGACAAACAACCTGACAGCAGAGCGGTTTGGGTGAGGCTCGTGGAGGAGGAACCTCGTGGGACGGGCTGCAGTAGACCACGATCGTATCTTTAAACGTAGCCCCGTTCGCACCTGTAAATGTCCACCGGCGTTGTGATCTTGTGAAGTTCGTGATGGGAGTGACCGTTGCTGTGTCCGTTTTTCTTTTTCCTCTTGGAGTGTTCCTTCTGCTCCTTCCTTTCACTGAACTTCAACATGGTGTTTTTTCCTGTGTTTATCCTTACCTGAAGCACAACGCACACACTGGAGGTAAAACGAGCGTCAACAAAGCAGAACCAAAAGAAACAAAGACGCACTCTGTGGAACACAAGTTGTTTATCCCTCTGACCTTCTTGGGTTCGATGGTGTGCGAGAAGAAAATGGTTGGCAAACAGCTGCCTTCCTCTTCCTCGTCGTCGTCTTCTTCTGCTGCTGCTTCTTCAGCTTTCCTGCCTGAACTCGCTCGCGCTTCGCTGTGAGCGAGTTCATTTACCGCAGGAGCAGCGTCTCCCTCCTTCTCCTCTTCCGAGGATAAGGACGACGTGTCCTCCCCGTTCATGTTCGCATTATAAGACAACCTGCAGGGAAAACGTTTCCAGCAGACATTTTCATTTTGCCTGAGGATAGAAGATGTGCAATTATTAAACTAACAAGGGAAACAGTGTCTTCTCCTCTACCTGTCGTGATCATCTTGTAACTCCTCCAGCTTCTCCAGTTCATCTAATCTAGCCCACAACTCCTCTTCAGTCGTGGTGCATTTTCTGCTGCCCTCTTTCTCCTCATCCTCCTCTTTTAGGTCCAAGACAGCATCCAATTTGGGCTTAGAATTTGGTTTGTGAGCTATTCTCTGCTTTCCTGTTAAAGCAGGAAGAGAGGGTGATGTCACTCCGGGTATCTGTAGAAGCTTTGTTTGCCTTCTCATAAAGAAGGACAAATGAGATCATATCTATTAATAAGAAAAATACCTTTGGTGACAGCAATGTCACTGGTGTTCTCGGTGTCTTCTCTAATGTCCACGTAGTCCCCTTTACTCTGAGGAATAAGCAAAGTCAGTGCGTTTGCTGCCTTTAATGTCCACATTTCATACGTGAGAAACCTTGTAGTAATGCAGCGTACGGATGAGATGCTTTCCAGATCCCTCACAAGTCCAACCCTGGCTTCAAAGTTTTTCATTGTCTTTGAAAGATCACTGATTTCACTCTTCACATCTGCAACAACAAAAAAGGGACATTATCGCCACAATATGCATTCAGAGTGTTGGAAACCCACTGTGCATGAGCTGTCTGCAGGCTAATGGATTCAAATTAAACGATAAATATAACAATTGCAACCGGGCGATGAAGAGTTAAAATCCAAAACAAGTTGGGGGGGCTGAGGGACGTTGGGAAAAAATGATGACACAAACAGTTCATAAAATCTTCTGCCCTCAATACTACTTCGGATCATTAAATCTTGACAACAATTAAGCCCTTTTACTAATAACAGCAGAGGGGCCCTGTTTCCATGGCGATTGGGAGCCCCTCCAGTCAGTGCATCAAAAGTGAGGAAAGGTCAAACACAGAAGGCCTGACAACTCAGCCGCTGTCTGACACATTTCAGCCAGCCATGTTTGTATTACAGCACTTAGCTCTGTAATAGGGCTGCGTGGAGGGCAGGGTCAGGAGATAGGAGGGGGGAGGAGGTGGTGGTCCGGGGGGGTAGACGGCTGCGGATGGGCTGTGGCAGCATGTTTCTGCTTCACTAAACACTCTAATAATGTTCACATCAGACATCGTTACTCGGGCCCATTTGACTTGATATAAGATTTTCCAAACGGAGAACGAGCAGCGGGGGGAAACACGTTAGATGTAAATACAGGGTTTCTGGCTCTCAATCAAACACTAGTGCTGCATGTACGGGACTAGTTTTGATCAGAGGAGAGGAAAACATATGTATTACTATTTAAGTGTACAACAGAGGCATTGACAATGCAACATATGGGTGCTGGGGAGGCACAGGGAATCAAATCAAAACGCTCCGAACAGTTCAGAAGCAGCATGACAGTTTAAAACTGTATCATATCAGTGAAAAGAAGGAATTCTAGTAACTCTAAATATTTTTTTGTATTCCTGTAGTAGATAACAGCTGACAGTTTCTCAGAGAGAAGTGATGCAGCGGCGCCCTCTGCTGGAGGAAGGAGAGAAGTGTTCAGCGGCTGCAGTCAGTTTGAAACAGGGAGGACAAAAAGCAATATTTCAAACGTTCAAGGACTCACATTTCATCCTGTGGTCGACGATCTTCTGAGCCTGCTTGGTGGAGCACTTGGCGAACCAGTTGTCACCGAGCAACGCCGTGACCTCGTTTGTGTGCACCAGCTTCCCGGGCATGAAGGCCAAGGGGCCAAAGGGCACCTGTTTATAGCACAGGGGATGAAAAAACAAGAGAGAAGCGGTTAATGATGCAGGTGGCGGAATGTGCGCGCATGAAAGTAGGAGAAAGGGAGAAATAAAGTGGCGTTCATCTTAGAAACCTCCCCACACTGCACGAGTCGCGTGCCAGCACTCACCGTGATGTCATAAGACAGCTGATCGGGAAGCGTCTGAAGGCGCTCGGTCAGGGCCTCATAGTCACCTGACACCTTCTTCCTGCAGAAGCATGTTTTTAGAAGGAGGATAACCCATAACCTATTAAAATAATGTTGGTTTTTCATTTGAAGCCACAGATCTCATGTGAAGCCTTTGTTATCCAAATAGTTTTGGCTTGGTTTATTTTTGAGGATGTTAAAAGAGAACAATGGGAAGCAAGAGGCAGCTGTGGAGTACTGAGGGAGAGCTGGTTTCCCTCCTTCAGGGGCAAAACGAGAGTTCAAAGTGAGACTTCAACCAAAGAGGCCTCAATGTGTCGCCGTTTTTTATTTTTATCCATTTACCACCGGACAATGTGAAGCTTCAGAGAAAATCATGACAATAGATTGACAAAAAAAAGAGCAGCTGTAGCTCCACTACGCGGCCTTCTTCCATGCACATTCACACCACAGAAACATTACTTCCTGTAAACATTTAGATTTGGGCTTTGTGATTGGGTTCTTTCTCCAGTGAAAAGCACAAAACCAGTTTGTAAACCTGGAAGTTACACATTCGCTTTGAGTGATAAACAACGTGTGTCGCGGCCGGAGAAAAGCACGTACTTCCACAGGCCCTCATTGACTTTATCGCGTAGATTTGATTGTTCGATAAAAGATATCATACGTTCCAGTGGGCCTTAGTCAAAAAAAAGAAAACAAATGACACCGAAAGCGCTTATCTGGACGACCTAATCGGCACGGAGACACTCGAGTGGGACCAATAAAGGTTTTTGTATTTGTTTTACTTCTAGTTTTGTCCGGATGTTGTGTATTTAACATAAACATACAACAAAGAGTCCCACACTGTTCACCAGGAACAAACATGGTTCCAAAATCACACGGTTTGTGTGTGTGCGCTCCACCTGTATTTACCGACTGCAGGTGTTGTTTTCCTCGGGGGATGAACACTGGACTTTGTCCCTCCGTAGTGGGTCCAACTGAACACAACGGTAGAGTCAGAGAGACGTGAAGTCCCTGAGAATCGCTCGAGTCAGTCAAATACGTGACTGTCCGATGGTCGGGGAGTCTGACAGTAGGAATGCGGAGTTGTGATTACGTTATTGAGTATTTTGTACTGATCCTTTAAGCAGTGTTTGCGCTGCAGTTTGTTTCTAGAATCTCTCCTGCTTCCTTTGATGAAAGCTCGTCTTAAACCTGCTGCTTTGCTACTACAAAAAGGTGGAAAGATGCCTTCAGCCCATCTGACAGTTCAACAAACAATAACGGACTGTGGGGGTGTTGGAAACGTCCCTTCGTGCACTGCAAATGAGGGTAGAAGTGTCTAATTAGGGTGCACTTAACAAATGCCTCTGATTGGCCAAGTTTAGTAGTGTTTAGTTTGTTGATTTGGACGCGAGCCGGCGCTTCAAACCACAGAGCATCAGTAACGCACAGAATCACACTTGATCTCGTGGCGAGCATTAGGCAATAAATGATGCCGTTCTGTGCCTCTGACAAACACAAACTTTGTGAAAGAAATTAGCGGACAATGACAGGAGCATAATTTTGGGCAAAATATTCCTTCATTTGTTTAAAATTAATTAATTTATAGATATGGATCACTCAGGGACAATGTGTGTCAACCCTTCCTATGCAACTGATTGAAATAGTATATGTGACTTTCTCAATGCTTACCAGTGCAGAATCCGACTCTCACAGTCTTTCACCACCTGTTAGGACAAATCAGGTCAATAACAATCACATCTACACAATGCAGACTCTTGTGTCAAGGTTCACAACCTGCAAGACGTGGTAAAAACGCTGTGAATAATACCAGATTTCACAACGCTAAACATCACTGATCAGTGTTTTAACCGGTAGTGCAACTAACGTTACTACCAATGCAAACACATAGAAAGCAGAAAAACCAGACACACAGAAAGACACACACACACGCACACAACCAGACAAAGGAGGCCACGCACAGCTGCACAGACACCATTCAAATGGTCCGATCAGCACTAATACACCTTCTCCGGGGGATGTGAGCTCATGCAAAGCACGTGTTTCACACAACTGTGTTACATGCTAAACTTTGTCATCGTCGTATTCAAACAAATGTAACTGCCGGACTTCCTGGCTGAATGGGCTCAGAGGGGGGAGCGATGGGGGTGTTAGTATCGTACTTTCTGTTAATCAGAACAGTTCATTCAAAAACAGACGGGGGTTTTGTTTGTTTTTATACAGTCTGGAAGCCACCGACGAGCCCAAAGTGACCGAGAGACCACACGGACATACACACACCTCCCCGCTGCCGACATTTAAAGTAACGAGAACTTGAACATGTGAGCGGCTGCAGCGAAGCTTCTAGAAGAAGGGGGGGCAGTCAGAACGGTTCACTCACGGCGCACTAATGCAGCTTAGTGCACACACACGTGTTTGTGTGTGTTTAATGCGTTAAAGGTGGGTTCGGGGAGCCGCGTGTTTTCCTGGCTAGCAGCGTCACACATGTCAGCAGGGGAAGGGGGGCTCGTTTACCTTCTGGTGTTCCTCTCGGAGCCTGGCAACTCCGCCGAGATGCTCCACGTTCATTTGACCCTTTGCAGCCATTGTCAACGTGCACGACGGGAGAACCAAAAAATGTGTGTGTGTGTTTTTTCTTTTTTGTGTGTGAGCCCAAAACAAAAGCTCAGGGGTTGCAGTGAGTCCTGAAGAAGTGTTTATGAATGCAGCCGCGGCGGTTCCTCGGACCCGTTCTGCTCGTAGTCATCAACGGGACGGTGATAATTATCCTCACGTTCGGGGGCGATGACATTTCACACTCTCATTTCAGGATTTTTGCATGACGTCCCAAAAATATCCACGGTTTTGATATCCAGAGGTGAGCAAACAGTCCTCGTCCCTCCTGCTGCGACATGTACCTCGCTCAGCCGTCAAGACGCGAGGCGTCACCACGACGCTTCCGGTTAGAAGATCAAAAAGTAAAAGAACTCTGAATTAAAAAAAATACTCGTAATAATGATGCGTGTTACATTTTTTTCTGTATTTGATGTTGCATTTTACTGTTCAGCATATTGCTGCTTTCCATTCTCCATTATTTATGACAAATATATATTCTATCAAGTTATTGATGCTAAACAGACCACAAGATAAACACCTCAGTCCCGTTTTTAAACTTTTATCTTGAAGGCAACATGTTAGAATTCCCGTTCCTCGGCCCCGTGACGCCATCTTGACGCAGCTGCTCCTCTGCTTGCCGCGGTGTTGTCTGGGTAAAATGTGGATGATCGCACAAATGTAAACAGTCGACTTTAACGAGCTGAAACCCTGCAGCAGCACTGACCAACTCACAGTAGCACGGTGACAACAAGCACGACCACTGTCCTGTCAGGGAGTTGTCTATTTAGAAAAGCACAAGTTGGTTTTCCTCGACCTTCGTAAAGGTGAATCAGTCTGCAGCTGCACAGACGTTATTATTACAGATACTATTTGAACACACACGTGTCCCTATGATAGTCCACTATAGTTTGATAATAGTAATCAGATGTCTGTACACATGAAGTAGCTCTGAGTCACAGTCGTGGTAATCAAGTTTGCTAATGAATACAATGCACCCATGGTTTCTGCCCACTTCTTCTTGGACGCTGATTGGCTGTTTGTGTTGCTTTCAGTTGCTATCGGAAGTTTGACTTGTACCAGTTTTACTAGTGTAAGCTAACTGTTGATATGAGCCCATTAGAAATTCTAATAATCCCTGCTTTACCTCTTATATTTAGTATTTCATTCATTTCATTCATTTCATTCATTTTAATCACAACTTGCACGTCAATCAAATATAATCCATTATAACGTAAGGAGCATTTTCAGTGACCTCGCTGTCCTCATCTAATACATCAACAAAAAACTTGGAATCCGGGATTGGTCGAATGTTCCTGAACGCAGCATTGGGGCCCTCTCCCATCAGCCATTGCGGTGACAGTCACGCAAGCTCAGAAATCAGGAACCGCCGACCAGTGAGCATAGTGATAATAATATAGCATCTCAACTTAAGCCTTACACGTTTCAATGAGGATTTCATGAGGCAGCAAGGTACGTTGATGCGGTTTACTGTAGTTATTACTATAAACTTTGTCTTTTACTTTGTTGACCGGGCGACGGAAACTTTGAAACCGTTAACCTTTGGCTTTTGACGCTTTCTGATGCAATCAGCTATCATACTGGTTCTGCCTAGCGTTACAATAGATAATGACTGTGTGCCACGATATTTAATACTTACACAGGATAATTTATGCCATTTACTGATGTCACCTGTACATTGTTGATTGTAAATCAGCTGATTTGATATTGTATTCCAGCTACTTTTACAGACAACGTGTTCCTGATTTCTTATCCTATTCGTATCAGATTGTTCCTGTAGTTATCATTTCTGTCACGTCTTCTGAAATGACGAATCTGACCCACAGCATGTGTCACCGAGTCAATGATGTCATGAGGCTGTGTTGTGAGTTATCTGCCAATCAGCAAGTCCAGACCACAGTGAGGGGCTCCGGGAAGGGGGCCGCAGCAGCTGGGGGTCTGGCCTTCGCAGGAGGGTTGATCGGGGGACCTCTTGGCATCGCAGTCGGTAGGTGGAGAAAGTGCAACAGTCACTGCAGCCTGGGTACCTTTACAGTACGTGTATTTGAACCCTCTCGCCCTGCAGGCGGGGCTGTCGGAGGCCTCCTGGGCTGCTGGATGACCAGCGGACAGTTCAAGCCGCTGCCTCAGATCATCATGGAGCTCAGTCCTCAGCAGCAGCAGAAGCTTTATGACGATCTCCTGGCGGTCATGGGAGACATCCAGTGGACAGATTTGGTTCAGCTAACTGCTCTGGTGATGGGCAACGCCACCCTGAAGCAGCAGCTTACGGCGACCCTTCTGGGGTATATCTCCAAAGAGCTGCAGGCGCAGGTGCACTACGTGGATTAGTGTTTGCCGACCCCGATTCAGGGGTTCAGAAGACTGTTTTGTCATGCTGGAGAGACTCTTTATCAAATGGGAAATCAAATATTGTAAATTTGCACAGACGCCATGACAGTCCTGGTTACAGGTTACACTGAGTAATAAGATTATTGTGAAATGGATGGATAACTGGATTTGTTAATGGAATTGAAAATACACTCATCAGTTGACTTATAACTTATTTATCCATTCATGGCACTTATGATAATATTTAAATACAAAAGATCATGAATGGAATGAGCACCAACTGTACAGTTTGAAATATTTTTAATTTGATGGTAAATTACGTTATTGTCAATGATTTGACCAGCATCTCCGCTCTTTATATTGTATTTAAAGGAATCCAAAATAAAAAGGTGGTGTGTTTCACTGGTTCACACACATTGTTCATTGGAGTTAAATTCAAAAGTTCTTTATCTTACTTCGCAGTTCACTTTCTTTGCTGCTGCTGTTATTGGTGTAAAGTTCTCATATTCCCAAACCAATTTGTTAAAATGGAAAAAGGATCCTTAGGTTTTCTGGATGGTCCAATCATCTTAACGTAATCATTCAGCTTCTCAGGCTGCTTGTTCATTTGTATGCACTTTTGACAGCTCAACTTTAGGTAACCATGAAACAGGCCCCTTTATAATCTTTATTCAACTTAGGTTATTATAGTCTGGTTTATCCAAATGTGTTTGACGATTAGAGCGTCTAGCTTGTGTGCGCATTAAACCGAAGGATCCAAGAACCATACAATAATTTATTGAATTATGTCATTATTATTAATGGTTCCTTTTTTAAACAAGGAATCGTCATCAGGATCTGGTTTGGACTTTATCACACAGCTCCAACACAACATAACATCAAGTTTGGTGTGGAGGCCAAGGAATGTGGTCTGATCACAACCCGCTTGTTACCATCTCCCCCTTTCTATAAGCTCGCCCCAGTATATCGGTAGGTTGAATCACTCTATCCAGTAGTGGTCTGAAGCTTTGTATTTGCAACAAAGAGATGTAATCACATTTGCTTTTAGAGTGTTGTTTCATGCACTGTCACAGCAGTGCATTGGTCAGCCCTTTATGTAATTATTCTCCTCATTTGGGCATTTTCTGCCCTCAAAAATCATTTTCTTTTAAGCACCCTTTCACTTTGAAACTTTCGTGCTACATACACTATTTGCAAAAGACTAAATGCTAAAAGTAGTGCAGGATAAAATAAATACAATATCATAGAATCAAGACACGCTGTGTTGTTGTTTTTAACGAAAAAAGAAAATGAGCTCAGTCATAGAGTTAGAAATATGTCTTTAATAATAATTACACACATTTTAGTCACTCATCTCTCGACAAGAGCCATCAAAAAATACCTATTACTGAGAGGAAACGAGACCACATTATCCCACTATGACCGTATCCTCGTCAGGGAACTCATAGAAGGGAACTTCCAGATTTAGCGGAGGGGTCCCTTTCTTATTCTCCCTGAAGAGTCGTAGTGGGAGCCGTGGCACGGGCCAGTAATAGCCTCCATAGTCTCCGGCGTTGGCGATGGGCACACATCCCAGGGTGGGTGCACACGCCGAGGACGGATGATCCATTTGGAGTTGAGCACTCGCTCCCTGTCATGCTGGGGGTCCCGAAGCTCCGCGATGTTCCACGGCCTCCTCTGTTGCAATTCCTTCTCCGTGCGGTGACGGACAAAACAGGGGCTTCCCTCTCCACTTGAAGGTCATGTTTTTGCCCTCGGGGATGTCGCCGAGCTTGACTTCGATCTTGGATAAGGCCAGGACATCTGCCGACGCGCTCATCGAGGAGACAAACTGGGTGACCACCGTCTTCGCTGCGTACACACCGACCACGGTGGTCGCGCCAGTGACCAGGTACGAGAACGACCTTCTGGCCTCACTGCTCTCCTGGGAGGACTTGTTGGGGTCCGCTCACCTCGGCGCCTGCGGGCGTATGTCTGTGATAGTCAGGATATCTTGATATCTGTGTGTGGCCAGGCGGATCCTGCACGGAGCTGAAAAGAAACACAAGAAGTTTTTAAAGGCAGAGGCGGCAGATGGCAAAATTGCAGCGTCATCTTTCTATTTTGTATATTAGACTAGGAGATATTTAGGATGCCTTCACCTGAAATTACGAAAAATATTCTACAATGTTGATTAACTCAAACAAGTGAATCTATGTTTTTTTTTTAACAAAGAAGACCTTTCACCTGTATTGGTACGTGAAACAAAACAATAACAACAGGTCTCACATCTGTTCATCTCCGTAACCGTTAAATTAACGTCTTTGAGCCGTTTTAAATTAGAGTTGACCTTCTATCATGTTTCACACGTCAGGTGACGTCATATCACAGCTGTTTTACCGTTTATTACAGACGATGAAATGAAGACACACCAACGTACATTACGTTTTGTTTAAATGAGAATGTTATTTAGTCAGTTTGCGGTCACTATATAATTCGCGTTGTTACACAGAAGGCAACAAACGCGTCGTTCGGCCTCACCAGCAGAAGGCAGCAGGTCCGCGAGCCGCAGGCTCTTAACTGTCTGCTTTGTCGCCTGCAAGTACGGGGAACGAGCCCCGACGCGAGCAGACATGGACATCATCTTGCCCAGAATAAGGGAGCTCCACGCCGATGGTCCGCGGAAACGACACGACCTTGCGAGTAAAAAAAGATATCGCTTTGCGTCTCCCTGATGTGCTTCCCCAGAAACTCCACCCGCCCTCTCAAGGTTCCGTGTTACCTCTCTGTTTTTTTGATTATGCATCGCGTAATTGCACATGTTCAGTGTTTTGATTAAAGCCATAATTACATTTATGTATTCAGTACTCAAATATGCCAACGGTTGAACCAACGTGCTCGAAATTGCACAACCATTTAAGATAGCGGAGGTTTTTGCACAGGCGTTTTCTAAGTCAGCTGTGACTTGGGATGGGGGGGTCCTCGGAATGTATACAAGGGTCCGCTCACCAAAAGATGGAGAGCAGCTACACAATGGTAACCTGAGAGAATACAATTAAATGAAAATGAAAATACCAAAAGAAAGCTATTCCTCCTAATTATTTTTGCCTACGTGGCATTTTCCCTCTATGCTGCATACAATGTCTTCTTCAGCACCAAAGTCATCTCCCGCGTTCACACGTGGTGAAGAAAGAGACGGGGGCGCTCTCGGGTAATTTCACCGTACAGCTAACATTAGCATAAACCGTTATCCGGTCCCGATTGCAAACCGTTTCCAAAATAAATTACAGTTTGAACGCCGTTTTTTTTATGGTAACTTGAGATGACGGGAAAGTGTGTGTGTTGCGTTTGCAGATGGTGTCAAAGACGACGGTGCTCCGTTTTTAGCCCGTGACTGGAATCCGTGGGAGAATGAACAGGTGGACTACAACTCCGATCTCGCCAAAAAGAGGCAGGCCTTCAAACAGCAACTGGGTCGAATACACCAACCCAAACGATACAGGGTGCAGATCTGGGGTAAAGCTGCCATAGGTGGGTCGTTGGTATCGTGTAACTGTCACTGGCTGCAGCGAAGGTGACTGTTGATAGGTAGGCTTACTCCTTTGGCCTACCTGCGCGGCGGAACAATGATACCAGAGAATGAACGGACGTCCAGACGTTTATCTCTTCAGCCATTTAACTCGTGGCATTTTTGTTTAATGCAGGCACGACATGCTAAACTGCCCGCTCACGGGAGAGACGGTTACACATAGAGAAAAGGGGCGGGGACACTGCCCTTATATGGAAGTGGTGCTCTCAATATCACATGACTCAGGAATCAGGAAACAGTTACAGTTACATGCATCCATACACTCTTAACAGTGACGTTATGTGTCCTGGTGGACGGGAGTGAAATGACGAGTATGTGTCACCACATGATTTAAAACGTTTTTTTTCTTCTTTTTCATTAAATCTTAATTTTTGGTTTTTCAAGTATTGTGTTTGATCATTTGCATTAATTTCAACATTTGCATTATCTTATCAACTTACATTATAATGTCGAATAGAATATTAGGTGCAAGAAAAAAGGAACTAGGAAATAGCAAATGTTAAAACAAAATACAACCAAACATCATTTTAAGGGCTTTTGAAATACATAAAAGTTTGATGCATTGAAATACAGGAAACCACTGACGTATTTGACCTCATGTTAGTAGCGCCTGCAGCATGGTTTACATTTCCCAGGTCATCACAGGTTTTATATGATATCAAAAAAGATAATTATAAGTTCAATACATTGAAAATATTACTGAGTTACTGAAAATTAGATTAGATTTCTAATTATATATATTTAATGACTCTATGAATTAACAGAGAACCTGGGGCCTCATTTATAAAACCTTGCGTAGGATTTGTGCCAGAAGTGGCATACGGCTGAAACATAGGACGTGCGTACGCACGTCGCAGTTTTCCCTTAATAAATCACAATCACTTCTAAATGCAGCGCAGCTTTTGCGGCTTCATGTCACGCCCATAGTTGCCCATATATAGTCTGTGGAACGCCCACAAATGAATATTAATCGATTGCGAAATCATGAGTAACACTGAGAGGAAAACGAAGAAACGTAACTTCACTCAGTGTGAAGTCAAAGTTCTCATTGGCGAGGTGGAAAGGAAGTAAAATGCTTTTTGGAGGGCACAGTATTGGCATTACTAATGCCAAGGCACCACAGCAACGCTGCAGCCTCACAACCTCGTACCGTGTCCGAAATAAAGAAAAAATGGTCTGACATCAAAGTGAATGCAAAAAAGCGTGCACACCTTTTCAGGAGTTAACAATAACCTCCCTCCAGTGCAGTCGAGGCAGCACCATCTGCCCTTAAACAGGCCGATGGTGCGCTGCACTACAGCGCGAATCCTTCCATGTACCACCTCTTCTAAGAGCGCAAGATCAGCCATTACGCGTCATTACGCATTGTGATGGCATCATGGCATTTTCTTACCGTCCATTTGATTGCATCTGACAAGCAACCGCTGTGTTTTGAGGATGAATTGCATAACATGCCAATATTATCGCAGAACATATTTCTCTTTTCTTTTTGAAAATGTGTTAATTTGTATTTCTGTTTGTTTTACGCTGCAGATCGATCAAACGGGTGTTCGTGTTATTTATGAGAGGCAGTATTGGCATTTCATTTACACAAGTCTAGTTTTACACACTTTCACACACGTTTGCGCGTTTCTTGCATTTGCCGACGGTTCTCATTTCACCCGTTTTGTGCGTACGCATGGGTCCGAGCTTGCGTGAAGGACCGCACATTTTTCCGTCAAGTTTGCTTTTTATAAATACCAATTATTACGTAGAGAGCGGCGTACGGCTTCTTTTGTGCGTACGCAACGTTTATAAATGAGGCCCCTGGATTGTATTACTAAATCTCAGTTGCAGTGTAATTGAAGAGTACAGGAAAATACTATTGTGATGAAGATGAATGCTGTTGAGAAAAAGAAAATTTTACAATTAATGAAAAAAGGTTTCTAAATTTTTTTTTTTAAAACATGCCAAGTTATAATTCTTTATTCAGACAAAATAATTGGATTAGAGACAGGGATACCACTAAGATGGCTGAAGTGACAGTCACCACAGTGTACACCTGATAACACTAGCAGGAGTTTACAGACATAAACACATAAATGAAATTGATTTGTGTCCTACTGTAGAAGTCAATGGTATAACGGTATGGTATGACGCCACTGCACGTGTTGCAAGTATTCACTCTGGTATTAAATGGCCATGAACCCGTTTTTTTTTCCTCAGGGATTTACCTTTGGGAACATATTTTAGAGGGACCCCTCAACCCTACTGACAAGATCGTACAATGGCAAGAGGGGGAACTGCAGTCAGGAAAGATAGATTTCAGGTAAGAAGTCAAACATGTGATACATAAAAACTGCCAAAGCCAAGCATGTTGTCTGCCTTGGTCTCCCCGTGAAACACCCCCATAATATGTAAAAGACTCAAATACGGAATTTAATTTTCTCCCTTTCCTCTTGCCTCTCCTTTCTTAGTTTTTACACAGGTCCTGCTGTGGTCCAGGGGCATGTCCCGCTGGATATGAACAGCCTGGTTCTGGTTCTGAATGGCCGGGAACAGCAGAAGGTCTCTTACTCTACACGGTGGCTGGAGCATGTCCAAGCGCTGGTACAGTCCCGCACAGTGTCACATGTGGCGGTGGTCCTGCTGGGAAATGAGCACTGCAACAACAACTTCATTGCCCCATACTTAAAGAGAAATGGTGGATTTGTAGACTTACTGTTTGTAGTTTACGACAGCCTATGGGTCAACGACAAGGATGTCTTCCAGTGGCCCCTTGGTGTTGCCACGTATGTCATTTCTTACTTGTGTGTGTTCATGTGTACATCCTTATAGCTCCATAGCAGTACATTAAACCGCAGCTTGAATAGCTTTGTCTAACACGTTGCTCTGTTTTGCTTCTCTGTCCAGATACAGGCAGTTTCCAATGATCAGGCCAAATGCCCAACTGATTACCTCCAACAGGCCATACCTCTGCAATTTCCTGGGAACTATTTACAAAAATTCCTCCAGAGATATTCTTATGCAGGTGCTTAAACAATCTGGTCTGGATAAGGAATGCATCACCACTGCCAGGGAGAAGTAAGTCATTAGTTAACAGTTACATTCTATTTATTTTAATCAATGCATTGCTAGTATTAGATCTTTAAATTGATATTTAGATAATTTATGATAACATTGTTTTTGCTAGAAATCGTTGGGTTTCTACATATTTTAGATTTTGAGGGGAACCGTTACTTTTAAGAGTTAGACATCAGAGGCCGAATATGTAAGCCTTTATATTATCAAACACATTTTTGCACAGAAAGAGGACTCAACCAACCAAAAGTCTATTGGAATTGTGTAGAATGCTTTACTTTATAGTTTGCAAACTATAGACACACACAATTTAGGTCCTGTTGCACAGTTAGTCTGGGTTAAAAAGTAATTCTCTAAAAATCCGTAGTGTTGCCCTGATGTTATCAGTAGCTACTTTGTATGTGTTCCAACATTTAAGATTTTAAGAATTTTTCTTTTTTAACTTATTAAATGAATGATGGTGTTGAGGTGACCATGTCTACAATATAAATCATCTGATTAGAACAGTGCCACCGTGTCGTATTATTTACATTCATTCCTTGCCTCAGATGGCTCCCTCAGGAGACAGCAGACAGTTTGAAACGCTATCAGACGGCTCTGGCCCAGAGCGAGCTCACTCTGTGCCCCATCGGAATCAACACCGAGTGCTACCGCATCTACGAGGCCTGCTCCTATGGCTCAGTGCCCGTGGTGGAAGATGTACTGACGCCTGGGTCCTGCGCGTCCGGGTCCAGCTCCCCGCTGCGTTTGCTCAAAGCTGCAGGAGCACCCTTCGTTTTCATCAGTAACTGGAAGGAACTGCCGGCCATCTTGGAGCGGGAGAGGGGGATGAGCCAGGAGCAGAGGGTGGACAGGAGGAGGATGCTGCTGGAGTGGTACGCAGGCTTCCGTCAGAAGATGAAAGAGAGGTTCACCGAGGTCATCGAGGAGACTTTCTTCAAAAGTGGCTGACGGCTGTGTTTATCAAAACATACATTTAAAAGGTACACAGGGGTATACAGCCGTTCAATATTGGTTTAATTCATTTCTGTGGTTTGTGGATAAATGTGTCGTACTACGGATGTTGTGTGCCTGATGATGTTTAGAGTAATATTCCTATGCGGGTTATTATGAAACCATTTGTGTGTGCTGTAAGTTGGCCATTACTATTCATTAAAGAACCCTATGACATTATTTACATGGGTCATGTCCATCATCCTAATGTTTACAAAGGTGGAAAGTCTGGGCGTTTCGAAAACACTAAAATATACTGCCTTTGCATTTTGAAGATCTTATATTATTTCAAACCATGTTTTATATCTGTTTGTACTCACTTCATGTTGTGATTTTCTGGAAACACTAAACATTGGGAGTAGAATGAGATGAGATGTGTTTTCAAGCCTCATTTGAAATGGTGCTTAGAGCTTTTATCTTATGATTGACTGGAAAACTGATGCTGTTTCTTTGGCATGTGACAAAGTTTCATTGGTGTGGTGCATGTGTGTTTCAAGACGGTTTGGTCCTGGACTGAAAGAAGCCGATGTGCTTGTATGCATTTATTTTAATACGCGGTAGATGGCGCTGTGGTTCAGCTAATCGTTTAGTGGCAACAATGATCTCAGATGATGGTAAACGCTTTGTGAAGATGGTAACGCTTTGTGAAGTTCCACCACAAGAAGAAGTGAACGCGCTAAAGCATGCTGACATCTTTGATATACGTACTGTGCATTTGACTGCTTGTCTTTTTGGAATATATGATGACGCATGATGATGAATACGTAACAATAAAATATATGTATGTTATATTACCTGTACTGGCTTACTTGTGAGAATGCCTTGACTGGAAATAAGTATGCTTTAACTGGATGTTTTAAACTTTAAAACACACAGCAGCAGAGTGCCTTTAAAATTTAAAGGCACTCTGCTGCTGTGGCCTCCTATATTTAGCTGGATATCCGTTTATTTGAAGAACAACGATTAATTAAGGGAAAACGCAACTGCAAATCCTTTCTCTCGTTTTAATTTAGTTGGAATGCCACATATTAACTGGTTTATTTGTTAACAAATACACTAAGAACGTGGTGTTGGTTGCAAGGATACACAAAGTAAGATTTGGGCCCTGTCTCTCTTCTGGTGTCCACCAGCTCTGTGTGCGTGCAGATCCCTCCCTCGCTCCCCCTCTTCTCTCCGGTGTGATGCAGTCGGTCTGCCTCTGAGTCTGCTGGGAGTTGGAGAGGGGAGAAGAAAATCGCAGGGGGAGAGAGAGCGAGCGAGCGATGGGGGCCGTGGGGGGAGGAAGTGTGTGTGTGAGTGTGAATGCGGGTCCCAAACTGGAAACACAGTTCAGACCGACTTTAAGCCCTCCTAGATGGGTCGCGGAGCGCCGTGAAAACCCGCCACGGAAACCCTGAAAACGTGCTGGATCTCTCTTTTTCCTTCTTCTTCTTCTTCTTCTTCTTCTTCTTCTTCTTCTTCTTCTTCTTCACCTTCTTCACCTTCTTCACCTTCTTCACCTTCTTCTTTTTCTTCTTCTGTGGTGGCGGAAACGCTGTTGCGTCGCAACGACTGCTGGAGCGGATTCCTCCGTCGGAGGAGCATTGCGCGCATTCATATCCAGAGAAAAGAGGAACCAGCGCGCCCCCCCCTCTCTCTCACACTCTCTCTTTCTCGCTCCGAGTCGAGGTTGTTACGCAGTTAAATCCTTTCCAAGGGCCATTTGTTTCTTTCGCCGTGCCGCCCCCCCCCCCTCCCGTCCTGTGCGGGATGCGGCCGCTGCTGTAGGACCCCGCTGGCTCACAGTTAAAGCAGAAAAAGAACAAGTTACAACAAGCGTCGGTGTGAAGGAGACAGAACATGTCCTCGTCGAGGTTCAAAAAGGATAAAGAAATCATCGCGGATTACGAGAGTCAAGTCAAAGGTAAGCGGGTGTTTTTTCTCTGGGAAATGGGAGATGAGTTTAGGTTGGAAGGCTAAACATTACCCGCGTGAGTCATAGCTAACGTTAGAGACGTGGCGTGTTAAATTTAAAATGTATATTATTTAAAAAAGTTAGCAACTGGGATCAGGAGTGGCCTGGGGTCTTTTTGTTTGGCTGATTTGCACGTGAAAGCGGTCCTCCGATTGCCCCCATCCGCACCATTAAAGAGCCCCCCCCCCCTTGTTTAGTATATATTTTACTGCCACTTCTTGGTGCGGGGCATTTCACTGTGCTGACGTGTTCAAGAACCTGTTACTATCAGAGTTCCCACAGCTAATGAATGAGACGGAGGAAGGGAATCGCACATGTCCAGACAGCACACCTGTATCCACCCGCAGTGTGTTGCTCAGGGGCACTACAGCCGTGGGGTTATCCTCAGGTGGTTATTATAGAGCTGCCTCTGTCTTCTCTGTTTCCCTGCTAAATGCCATAGTATAAACGTATGGGCCCTGAGTTACAGGTGTACCAGTGACTTCACCCCCCCCCCCCCCAGAGCAGATGTAGTTTATTACCAGATAGAACTGGGGGGGTGGGGGGGGGGGGGGGGGGGGGGGTATAGAAGAAAGGGGTCCCGTGCAGCACGAGGAATTACAAGCTTGCATGTACTTGGGCACAAGCTGTCATTTGCAAGGAATGTTCAGCACCCCCCCTCCCGTGAGGATGACTAAGGGGTTTTCTGGCTGCAATACAGGATGATGCAAAGTCACAGGGGGCGCTGAACCAGGGATGACTGTGACCACTAACCAGTTCTGCTCCTGACTTGTGCTCGGAGGTCTTGTCACGCATTGTCACACAAATATTCTGGTAAAAATATATTTGTTTCATTGCGACAGATTGTGCCTAGAGGTTTGCATAGTGTAAGTGTGCTCGTTGTTTTTGCAGTGCAAATATCTCAGTTATTCAACTTGAGAGATGCTTTATTTCTTATCAGTCACATTTATTTGACGGACTAAGACATTTGCATGAGGATGCATGTTTTTGTGCTGCATTTAGCGTTGCCAACACTCTCCCCATTTAACCACGGGGAGACATCATGTTAGATATTTTCACACCAAAACTATTCAGACTTACGAGCAAATCTCTACAAAATGTTTGCTTTTTGTCAAAGATAACACCACCTTACGTCAGTCAGACGGATGGCTCATGCAAATGCAGAGCCGGTTGGTTGTGGAGAAAATAACCGTCCAAGTTACCATTAGAGGAAAATACATTTAGTCAACAATAAGTATTCAGTCAGCGTGGTTACATGGATTCGAATAACTGGCTTAGTCGGACTGAAATCGAATTATCTGTTTCATGTAAACACCTTTGTCCGACTATGTGCAGTCCGATTACGATCCGACCAACACCCCTCGATAACTCCATCCGATCCAGTTGATAGTTCGACTATTGCGGCATGTAACGGTGAATCGGATAAGGAACTGGACTTTGCGTCTTTGCGCATGCTTGAGATCCCGGCGGCGTCTTCTCTCCGTTATCAAATCAGCCAATAGCGCCATTCGCATTCGCTGTGCTCCTATTAACATCATGCAAAGATAGTAGAGGGATGTAGCTTCACCTTGCTCTCCGTTCGCCATCTTTCTCGTAATGTTGATGTTGTTGTTGTTGGTTGTTGTTGGTAGTAGTGAAGCGGTCAAGCGGAAATGGGTGTATCACAACTAGTTGTAATGAAAACAGCGCCACCTATCGTATTGGATATGACATGCTTTCGGCCAATGATTCAATTTATTCACTGCCATGTATATTGGGATAATAGCACCTCCCCCCAAAAGATAGCATAGTCCGACTAAGCAAAGATTCGAAATATACCATCATGTAAACACACTGAGTGTCAGAGCAGCTCCTGATTTTGTGTTTTTGGTTCTGAGTTTACAGCGATGAGTGGGATCACATCTGCGGTGTGGCTGTGATAGCCGGAGGGAGACTCTGGTGAACAGACACATTGATTACTCAAGAAGTTGAACAACAAGCAGCCCAGAAAAAAAGCCAGAGCGGATGTTTGTTCTTTTTGGACTGCATCCTTCCTGTCTCAGTGTGAAAATGACAATATTTTGACAAATATCTGGCAGTTTGGGATCATTTTACACGTTAGTTTTTGTATTTTTCTGAAAGTCTCCCTCCGACGCCTGACACTTGTTCTCAAGCCCAACTTGTCATTCAGCTACAACCAACATCCTTTTTTTAAATATAATTTCCCACAGAAATGTCAAATTTAAATGAAAACTGGTGTAATTTAGGCAATTCAGGGAAATTATTCTCCTTGTTGGAAAAAGCTCTGTAGCAAGGAGATATTATTCTCTCAAATTGGATCCTATAGCAAGAATCGGTCAGTTTTTGGAAAAAGACCATTAAGAAGATTGAGTTCAATGCAATGCATTCAATTTATGTAATTTAAAGCCGACTACGGGGAGGCTGTGGGTACATTGGTATTCTCCACGGGTCTCTGTTTCCGTGGATCAGGGCATAGCAACCCCGCTGTGTTTTCTCTTGGGCAAAGTGTTGGTTTGATGTCACACTTTGGCTCACTGATGGGGGGGGTGGGGGGGGGGGCACATAACGGAGGCCCTGTGTGACCTATCCTTTGCTGCTGTTTGAAATCAGAGCCCTGCTCCTCCGCTGCATACTCAAATACGGTGGTCTGCCCATGTTTGTATGCTGAAGGTTTAAAGGCAGGAAACCGCTCTGATGTGTTATGTGTTATCTAACTTTCAAATCAACAAGGACACATCCGGTCGAAAAAAGGTTAAAATACCACAAAACTCCCCCAGTTGGCTACTAGCACTATATGTTTTGTAGAACACATTTTACAAAATGAAAAGAAAACTACAGATGCAAAAAACAAAATGAACACCTACATTTGTATTTTGTAAAATGAGTCTGAGAGTGTTAGATGTTATGGAAAGGAAAATTGCCTTCAATCTCAAAATTTCCCCGTGCATTAAAAACACAATTTGCCTGGGGTGCGGCTGCCCTGTGTAGGATTTGTCTTGTTGTTAAGTCATTACATTTACATCAGTAACGGTGGAAGTTAATGATGATGATGAACATGGATGTGTCACTATCACTACACCATCCAGATGTCACATATGTGGTACATCGGGATTGTGATCATGCAAGATCACCACATGTGAGTCGAACTGCAATTTTTGCTGTAAAATCGTCTGTCTTTTCTTTTATTGACATAAATGCACCAGATTACAGTATATGATGATGTGTAGAAGGTTCCTTCGGGTCCATTGTGCTGAAAAAAACAGTTCTGGATTATAAACTAGGAACACTTTAGAATACCTAAACAAATGGTCTCCTCGGTGCAATAAATACACAGCAAAGTGCTGTCACAGAAACAAACAACAGCTAATAGCCGACGGAAGTTACCATATTACCATCTGTGGCAGTAGCAAAGCCCTTCAGCTTTCTTTAACGCTAATTTACTTAATTAGCATCATGTTGTATTGAAGATGACGTGACCGGAGCGATTGAGACTGTGAACAAATCTTTACTATCGAATAATAAGATGTAGGGTAACTTCTTCAATAAACAGAAGGAGTTGGTCAGTAGATAGAAAATGTTGAAACACTTCAACGTCAGCTTCAGTCGACGCAACCAGAGATTGCCTCCTGGTTTGCATCAACTGATTCATTATGTAATCATCCACTGAATATTACCATGCACATCACAGGTTCCTCGGGTCCAAAGCTGTCGCAGGACGTTAGAGAAGCTGGAACCAGCTTGTCCTACTCACTTTAAACTTTGTTCTATCCCTTGACTAACATATTGATGGAGATAATGGTTGCTCTAACTAATTCATTGCAACAGTGCAACAGTCCTGTCTATAAAAAAAACACTGATTCTGAAAAATAGAACAGCCGTCAGACTTTCGGTATCCTCAGGTCCCCGCTGCTCTCCTGACTATTAGACATTCTCATTTGGGTGCGTGAGCCGAGCTGAGAGCAGCTGTCACTATAACCCGACCTTTGGTGACGGTCACATTTTGTCCTCTTGCCACCCGAGAAAACCGAGTCATTCAGAAATCAGTTTGGAATTGAGATGCGTTTTTGCAAGGGGAATGGCCACCTGGGAACCAACGCCGTTGTGGGTCATCCTGTTATCTTTCAAGCCCCGCTGCGTGTTTATGGCACTCTGTGAGGCTGCGTCTTAACAGCTTCTCAGAGGTGTTGAGGTTGGAGCTCGCAAGACTAATGGAATCTCAACACCCCGTGGATCTACCCATCAGGCCTCCGTCCACACACTTACCATCTGCTTTCACCGCCCTTCCTCCTGAGACTGTGCGTGTCCGGCCCGCTGGTAGGCACGGGGTGTGGCCCCAATGGGACCGGTTACTGACGCCACCATCTGCGGCTGCTCGCTCCTTTTCTCAGTATCAATAAATTCTGCTGAGCACAAGCTCAGGCTTCACCTTCCCAGTTTCACACACCCACCTCAAAACAAACCACTATCCCTGCATAGCCGGATAAAAATGGGTGCTAGATCTTATCCCAGTTTAAAAGTGAACCACCACATCATCTGTTGGCTCCACTGGATTTCTCATAGAAACGTATTTGCCCTTTCAACTTCACCGGGTAGCATCACTCTAACACAACGTGGCGCTTGAAATACACAAAACCAGGCTGAAAATGGAGAACATCTGGAACAAGTGACAGGGGATGAGGGTTTTTATTACGGAGCAGAACTGGTTAGTGGTCGGAGCCAGATTATTTGCAATTCAGGTTTGAGGGGCAAAGAATCAACTGTCTCCCGGTACAAAACCACACTGGTATTTTTTTTAATTTTTTTTTATTGAATCCATCAAATGAATCCCCCTTTAACACGCGGCAGACTGACGCTGTTCCATCTGTGAATGAGTCGTACAGAGGAGAATCCCCGTGAGGGACCAAGGGGGGCCCGGTAATGAGCTGGGTGCACGGTGTTAATGGAATTGG